GAGTCCTGACAACTCACTCTATGCTCTAAGAATAAACTTTGTATAGCAAAGCAAGGTGATAAGTTTGCTGAAGATTAGGATGACAAGACCTAATCTATCCACTTTGGTTATATTACATGATTCGAGACTTAGGCTATCAAAGTTTGATAGGGATTTATCACCCACCACCAACTTTAGTAAACAGAAAAGAACAAAGAATGGTCCACCATCAAACTTTAGTGGCTTTTAAAGGTTCCTATCAATACTACCAATTGGAGGTCTCATCAGGATAGTACTCAACATTCTTCTTAATCTTAATGATGTGAATAGAAATGTTAATTTTTTTTTTTCGATTCAGACTTTGATTAGGTATATCACCAACAAACGAGGAATCTGATCCCTTCACCCACATACCCTAAAGTAATATCATATGCTAATATTATCTTGTGTTAGATAGGTCGTAAGAAATAATGTTATTGAGGCATGGTGACGGGGTGAGTGGTCCTATGGTGATAATGATTGGGGCAATGTTGTATGTTGGGTAAGTTGGGGAACGAGAGGGATGATAGTCTGTATCATTTCCGCTAGCACTTGGACTTGGTGAGTGTGGCTGAGGAATGCCTCAACTGAGATGGTAGGTTGTCCGATGGTAGTCTCGGGAGATGAGAGTTTGAGGTCATTGAACAATCGTCAATAGCAACTTGGGGTAAGGGCCGAGGCGTTCCCTTCTAGGTTTGGAGGAAAGGGGAGCTGCCCTCCGAACCCGAAGGTCAGGTGAGTAGCGAGCGGCTCCTCTCCGGGACATTCACCCGGGTTGGTTGGCTTTGGGCATTATTGCGACATCGAGCTCTCTTTCTAACGCCAAAAATGTTGGGGAACCTTATGTCATGGTTGATGAATCATCATGGCTTAGTCCAATCCCTAGAGTCGCCACGTGGTCGATCGAACGAAGGTGGTCAATGTTAGGTCGGGTCCGAGCTTTGTCTTCGGAGTGTGTAGTCTTCCTCCTTTGGTTAGGTTGTTGCACCTCTTTCGTCGAGTGCCTGTACAAAAGCCGAGTTCGAGAGGAAAATTGCCCGACTCGACCTTTTTGAAGCTTAAGTCAATATTGAGTGGAATTGGAGGAAGTTCATGTGTCTTTTTCTGTCCGCTCTCGTCATTGGTCAAGAGATCGTCTTTTATGCTGGTGAATGAAGGTTGGTCGTAGATGGACTATTAATAGCCCCTGACTCCTCGGGCGATCGGCTTGTACCCATTATGGGAGCAACGTCTGACTTGCATAGATCGACGTCGTCTCGAGTTTTTTGAAGCGGCTCATACCCTCCGTGTGGGTGCTTGTCGATTTGTTCGGATCTGAGCTGTGCAGTACCATTTCGAGCTTTCTTGGGCGACCCTATACTCTGCAACGTCATCTTGTACGACCTTAGGCAGCGTGAGAATAGGTGGTCATCCTATCTGAGTCCGAAATGTCACGTTAACATAGTGCACCATGTCATCCCTCATGTCACCCCGAGGCTTCACATTAGCGCTCTCGTGGCTACAAACTGTTGCCACGGGGATGGTACCAAAACAAGTCATATCATGTGTCATGGTTGATCGAATAAATATCTTGGTAGATTGAATAAATATCTTGTTTAGAATTAACTCTGACCATAAATATATAACTAAATCTTATCGGTGCGAAAGATATTATTCAGGTAACAAAATTTAAACGCAAAAAGAAAAGTGTATATTAGTGATAAGTAAAAATATGCTACACCAATCAAATATCTACACCTGTCTTTTCTACCTCCCTCGTAGCGACATCTCAGCCGTACTAACTAACGTATACTAAGGGTTAACATTATCGTCAAAAAGCATCTCTAATTAATTATACTCGAAATATTTAAAGAAGGTTACTTTTCCATTAGACTAATGTTGACTTGGACTTGTCAAATTAGAATTCTCCGTCACAAAGTCCCAAATCGGTCTTAAAAATAATTATTATTGTAACTATAATTATAATCATAACTTAATCTCGGTGATTTATATTTATAAAAAATATAATTATTCCTATGTGTGTGTGTGTATATATATATATAAGATTATAAATGTTATTTTGGTGCACCCTTTCAATTTAATGCACTCAAATCTCTCTTTCCCAAAGCCACTGTGATGGCAGCGGCAGTACAAAACCCCGGTCGGTCTTTTCCCTCTCCGATCCCACCATTTCTCAACCTCCATTCCTTTTTCTTCCCTCCCTCCAAATCTCAGTCTCCTCCCCTCTGCTGACCACCCCGAGCCGATCAAAACGGTACCTTCGCCCCCTCTCCCGCTCGGGCTTTCTCGCTGTTCTTGAACCTAAAGCCGTGGCTTCGGAGATCGGGATTCGTGCCCGTAGAGTGTTCGATCGTTTTCTTTGGTGCTGTTATCTGGAGTAGTCTGGGTTCTTAGGTTTCTGCTCTAAATTTGAAATCTTGATCTGAATTAAGCGACTTTTCATGGTTTTCCTGCTCGTCGAGGAAAAGCTGTCCTTTTGTAGCGGGCTGGAGGGTTCCTGATCCCTGTATGTCGGTTGGTCGTGAGGTCGAGCGTCGGGTCTCATGGCGTCCGTGCCGGTGAATGTGGAAAGTAAAGGGAGCATGTGGGATTTGGATCACAATCTTGACCAGCCGATGGATGAAGAAGCTGGCAGGCTTAGGAACATGTACCAAGAAAAGGTACGCATTATCGCACTGTTCAATTCTTTCATATCTTATATAAAGATCATTCTCTTCCTTTACCAGTTTAGAAGACCGCCCATTCTCTTTCTTTCGAATTCCGTCACTCTTGTTTTCATTTGTAACAAGATCTTATGGTCTGTGAATAAAAAATCTCACAGTTCATTTTTGCCCGAGTATAATACCTTTGATGGTGACCTAACTCCTACCTGATGAAAAATGGTGTCGCATGCCGCTCATAAGTTAGCCACTTCAGGGTTATTTACTTGTCTCTGGTCTGCGGTTACCAGTTTATGTGACCATAGGAAGACAGCGAAGCTATCTCTCTGAGAATTTCTTGATATAACTAGGAATAGACATAACTTTTGTAATTTCTTAAAAATAGTGATCTAGAGAACTAAAACTTTGGTCGCGGACACGAATAACATGCCAGGAGAAAATAACTTTTGACCGTGGCGTTTGTGGTTCAATTTGCAGGTCTTTCTCTAGTTTTTATTATGACGCTGAATTTTTTGGTAACCAAAATATGGTCTCCTGACTTTCAAGTGTGTGTGTATATATATATATATATCTGTTACTTGATATCTTCAATTATTTATGCACGTTGATGAGCTTCCTTTTCTGTCTCCAGAAGTTCTCAGCCATTTTGGTTTTACGGCTCGCATTTCAAAGCCTTGGTGTGGTATTTGGAGATTTAGGGACATCACCATTGTATGTATTCCACAATACATTTCCTTCTAGGGTTGAAGACTCGGAGGATGTTGTTGGTGCACTTTCTTTAATTATATACTCACTCACGCTCGTCCCACTCCTTAAATATGTTTTTGTTGTGTTGAGAGCAAATGACAATGGTCAAGGTAAGCCATCACTCTCCGTTTGACTTGTAAATTATAATTGCTACAATTAGTATGATATACCCTTTTGAATCTAGACTTTGTCTTTTATATTGTTAATTTGAAGCCCTTATCAAAAATTTTGGGCTTTATATATACAGAAAATGGACCTTGAAACCAAATTCTAACTAAATTATAACAATGGTATGCTGCTGAGGTACCTTAATGCTTTTCTAAAGAAAAAGATGTCCAACAAAAAGCATCATCTTTCCATGTTTCATTTTAAGAGGCTGAAAATAAAGGCATCAATTTCATATCGCATAGAAAACAAATTATTATTCTTTGTAAAAAAAATTATTATTCTCTGTTTGGTTTGATTTGTAACAATAGAAAGTAGAGTTGAAACTAAGGTCATGCTTTTCAGTTTTCTTAAACTAGAGGCAAGCACTTTTTGAAGTCAAGCTGAATCAAATTAGTATGTTTTGATCTGGTCTAGTTGTACTCTAAATGAGGATTATATGAAAACAAGACATCGATGTATCAAGAATGGAGTAAATTCATTCCTTTGTTTCCTTTCTAATTTCACAGTATTTGTTTCCAAAAGATCTGGCAGCATATAAAAAAAATTTTCTCCACCAAACTTTTTAGTTTGCTTGTTAGATGGTTAGATATTTCTGTTAGATCATTCATTCAAAGTCAGGGTCATATCATAACTTTTAGAGGGTTCTTAGGTTGGATCTGATCATGCATTATTATAATTTTTATCACGTCTTTGTAAATATTAAAGTAGTAAAAAGTCAGGAAAACCATGTGAAATATGAGTTTGCTGTGCTAATATATCACCTCCTTTTGCCCAACCTAATGTACGAGAAACAAATATTGTTGTTTCTTTAACCAACACTCTTTGTTTGAACCCATACAATGTCCTTTGCTGCCAAAATCTAGGAAAAATCTAAAATATGAAATCTAAAGTTTAATTTTTGAATTTTATTGTAGGCAAACTTAAATATTTGACCCAACCTTGTTTTTGCCTGCATTTTCATGTCATACAATTATCAAGGCAGATTGAAATAAATGCAATATTAAGGTTCCGTACGCAAATATTTTGTCAAATATTTTGTCAAAGGTGATGGTTTAGCTAGATATTCTACTAGAAGTCAACATAACTGTGAATTTAGTGCATAGCCATGGGTGGGTGCTCCTTCAACAAAGCTGATGTCTTTGAACTGCTGATTAACCTCTGTGTGAAGCTAAAATATATTCCAGAAATTGAAAATTAATATTGTTACTGATACATTGGTAACTTTCTTTGGTAGGCTTTTTTACTTATCTCTTTGTTCATGCTTAGGTAAATAATAATAATTCTGCTTTATAATGTGCAGGTGGTACTTTTGCTCTTTATTCACTACTCTGTCGCCATGCGAAAATAATTACCCTTCCTAATCAACACAGAACCGATGAACAGCTAACAACATACAGTCGTCACACTTATGATGAAGGTTCACTTGCTGCAAAGGTCAAGAAATGGTTGGAAGCACATGCATATAAAAAGAATGCTATTCTATTTCTTGTTCTCATTGGTACATGTATGGCAATTGGAGATGGAATTCTTACTCCTGCTATATCAGGCAAGTTCTTTTGTTAACTCTTCGTAATTGTCAACTCTTCATGATCAATATTTTTCCCCTTTGTCTGGATTACCTGAACTCTTTGCACTAATTATGAAGCTCATTCTTGTTTTGAGCACTACTATTTCCAATCTATACTGAAGGTACTATCTTCAGTCTCTTGTTGCAAGCTTTTGATGTATGCTACAAGTATATATTTGGCTTCAGGAGTTACTGAGGATTCATAATTACCAATTGTTTCCTCCTCAAAACTGCAACCTATCACAAACTTCATCTTAAAATCAAAAATTTATTCCACTTTTCCCTTACAGTTTACAGCTCTCATATCATTTTCTAAGGGAGGAACTGTCATTTGTTGACTTTGTTTTTCTATCTTAAGAAATGGATTAAATAGGTACATGCTCAATAAACCAATATAAACCTCACGACAAATGACATCTTGAACTATGGAACAATGCAAATTCCTATTTCCTTTGTTTGTGTCTTTCTTCTTTTAGAAAAATTTCTGCACAAGAGACTTATAGGTGCTACATGCACATTGTTAGTATGTTTACATACTTCATATTTTCTAAATGACAATCAATAACAAAAGCTAGTTTTGTTTTTTAGAGAGAGAGAGAGATAGAGAGGTGTATTGTGCAACTGAGGCCTCAAACCTATTGGCCAATAAATTGTATTGCTTTTTTAAAAAAATGAATTTAAGTATTCTCTAGGTCCTCATTTTGCCCTAACTGGACTGGGACATTGATCACGTGTTACAATACTAGCTCAACCACATATGTACATACACATATTTCTTGGACGAGGGCCTTCCCCCACTGTACCCCCCTCTCTAACAGATATTCTATCAGTGACCACCCTCTGAAAGCTTCGGTCTTTAACATCCCTTCCTCAGATGCTCGAGAACAAAATCTGCCAATTCTATGGAAAATGTCTGCAGGAGGTCAATCATGGAATGACAGTTCCAGTGATTGAAAGAGAGGGGTCTCATGAGAAGATTCATGAGGTCTATCAGGTAAAGTTCTGGAAATGGTAAACCACTGAGAAGAAAAAAGCTGATTATGTTTTGTAACCGGATCAGTGCATTAATGTCAAATGCACAAACAGGAGTATGTTCATCCTAAGAATATTTGATCTCATCTTGTTCATGGATTATACCAAAGATGTAGCATATATCAGATGTTCATGGAAGATGCTTGTGCGATGACATTGGATATTACAACATGAAATCAAATTCTTGATTGATATTTGCTAGTTTTTCTGTATATTTTTAGATTTTAGATATGCTTGTCTAGCATAACAATATAAGTTGAAGACATTTATTAATATTTTGGTTGTGGGTGCTTAATCTACCGATGCATCTAGCGTTCTAACATGGACGTTTATGTTTTTTCAGTTCTTTCAGCATCAGGTGGTATAAAAGTTGAGGATCCAAAAATTACCAATGGTAGAGTACTCCTCTGAACTTAGTTATTTCTTTTTTTGATGACTTTATCTGTACTCATGTTATTTTTATACTAAGCCACCTTAATTTCTGAAACTTAGGCGAGGAACAATCAATTGTTGTGAAATAGCATCCCGACAATGTCTTTTTAGATAATATTTTGAATTATTTGCAATAATTATTTGAATTATTCAACATGAATTGCTTCTTTATTTTCATGTTTCTTTGTCTCAGATGTGTCTACAATTGTTGCGGTTGTCATATTGGTTGGATTGTTTAGCATTCAACACTATGGTACGAACAAAGTTGGATGGCTTTTTGCTCCTGTTGTGGTCCTCTGGTTTCTATTAATTGGTGCAATTGGTGCCCTGAACATATGGAAGTATGATAACTCGGTCCTGAAGGCTTATAATCCAGTTTTCATTTTTCGGTATTTTAGACGAGGAAAGCGTAATAGTTGGATCTCTCTTGGAGGAATTATGCTTAGTATAACTGGTTAGTTTTAGAATATGATGCAGCTATCTTCCATCTTGTCATATCTTTTGCATAGAATATCGTTGAAGTCGATTCTGGTTCTGCTTTAACAAATATACAGAAGATAACTTCTCTGTCATGGAATTGTTTTTAGGGACAGAAGCACTATTTGCTGATCTTTCTTATTTCCCTGTTCTCTCGATTCAGGTAAATTGCATTATACTCTGATTAATCATGAACAATTCTCAACTACCACTTGTACTTATATGTTCTCTTAATGCAGATTGCTTTCACTCTTGTTGTGTTTCCTTGTCTTCTTTTGGCATATACTGGACAAGCTGCTTATATTGTTAGTAACAATGGTCAAGCTTTTGATGCTTTTTATCGATCCATTCCAGGTGCCTTCTGATGCTTATAAGTTTCTTTGAGTCCTGTACTTTCTTTGTGGGCGGTCGATGATGTTTTCTATCCTTGTAGATGGTATTTACTGGCCGACGTTTATCATTGCAACAGCAGCAGCAGTGATTGCTAGTCAAGCAACCATATCTGCGACATTTTCAATTATTAAGCAAGCACTTGCACTTGGTTGTTTCCCCAGGGTCAAAGTTGTGCACACATCAAAAAATTTCCTTGGGCAGATATACATTCCAGACATTAATTGGGTGCTTATGGTTCTCTGCATAGCTGTTACAGCTGGATTCAAAAATCAAAGTCAAATTGGAAATGCATATGGTAAGCTTGTGGTAATTTCACAGAGCATCCACTACATAAGATATTCAGTTAATATACTTACGAGTTATATGCTTTAGTGATTACCTTACTAGCATTGCCATAATCTTATTAGTATCATTGTAGTTTTAGAGTAGTAATCCCATATATAATCAGTACTTGAACTTCCTTCAACCAGAGCTGAATATATAAAAAGACAAGTGAGAGGCCCAAGGAATGCGAGATGGCAGCTGCAAAGAAGGCACTTTTGACTAAACTTAAGGTGTCACCAGATTATGACTAGATTTAGGATATCTTTCTTTTTTTGACTAGATTTTGGATTTCCTTTCTATAAAACAAGCTTTTCTGGACTACTAGTCTACCTATTAGGTTTCTCCACATAACTGCAATATAAATTGCTCTACCTTGTCTCAATTGTGTTTGCACATACATAGAACTTAATTACCTCAGTGAAGTTCTCAAACGTCCTCTGTTGTGTGATTCTACCTTAAGCTGACTTCATTCTATGGCATGTTTTCCATGCTTGCTCCAGATTTGTATTGGCAGCCAGCTAGATTTTTATATCTTATCAATATGATTTCCATTGCTAGGCATCTAGTTATCTTCAAATATGAGCCATCCTTTCTTAGATGTTGAGCAAATTCTGGAAACATTTTTGGAAATGGTAGTTTTTAGACATGTTTACCACATTATCATATGTATAAGGACCAAGGTTTAAAATCTGGGCCCGGAACCTATTTTGACACCTTACTTGGATTAGTACTGTATAATGGACGGTATATAGACCTGTAGCATTCGGTATCATGGAGGATAAGAAGATAAAATTCCGATTAGTACCGAACTATATAGTCTGGTACTTGTCCTTGGTCGGACAGGTACTACTGCTCAGTTGTACCAGTCATATTAGTATTTAAAACCTTGATTGCATCCATCACTCATGTATGCTACGTTGAAGTCATGAGCAACTAAACAGTTTTCACCCTAAGAAAACCGTTGATTCGATAGTCTATTGACAGCTGATAGGAAAGCTGCCATTAAACTGTAAAATAAAAGTTACCTATGCGATTCATCCTGTAAATATTTTCACCCTTGCAATCTTGTAGTGTGGCTCGCTGGGAGAAACAGGTAGCATAAACCCCTCATCTTTCCCATTTTTGGTACTCTTTTCATCATTCTCTTTGTGCATCAGCCATTATTATGGGTCCAGTGGGCTAAACCAAGTCTTTTTGGTACTCTTTTCATCATTCTCTTTTCATCCTTCTTTGTGGCTTTTGTGAACTGGCACTGAGAGCCGGTGTTGTGGGAACAACAAAGTGAGAGATGATGATAGGAATTCAATTCCAACCTCCTATGGAAATAAAATGAATGATAATAAGATAATCTTGAGAGAAGCTGGAGATGCTTTTTTTCTTCTTGCTTGGTTGCTATCCGATCAGTTCAGGACTTCCCTTACCATCTTTTTTTTGGTCTCACGCCTGTGATGGCATGGCAGCCATACTATATGATGTCACATTCCACTTTAGATGTGCACAACATGAACCTCTGTTGCAGAAATTTAAACCTTGTTCATCATGAACCCATGCTGTAGAACCTCAATTATTGGTTCATGTTTTAGTAAGATATAGACTAAATATGCATGAAATGGAAATAGAATCTATAAAACACAGAACTCAGGGATAAGTATTTAGATGATCGAGGATTCAGCAAATGATGCTCAAAGTAACATTCAGCTCCATGGCTTTTTTTGGGCTGACAAGACTCCACCAAAAATTGCATTAGCAGCGGAAAATCCTAGTTACTAACTAGTAGTAGCAAATAACTCAGGGGTGCTGTAGACAACAACTAATATGGAAAAAGTTCCGTAAATGACGGATTGCATCTTTTTCAAGACCCAATGTTAATCTGTGCAAAAGTAACACTTGAATCATGTCAAGCTTCAACTACTACAACTGTGAAAATCCTAGTTTCAACTGGTTTCACGGTCCTTGTCGTGTTGTTAATTACTTCGAAGTACCCAATTTAATATTTGGTTGTTTTGTCAGACAAGCATGATGAACTTTCTAGTTTATGAACAGGAACTGCAGTTGTGACAGTGATGCTGGTGACAACATTCCTCATGATCCCAATAATGCTGTTGGTTTGGAGAAGCCACTGGATCCTAGTCTTTATCTTCACAGGCCTATCTTTGTTGGTGGAGCTCCCATACTTCTCAGCTATGCTATTCAAGATAGGCCAAGGTGGTTGGGTCCCTCTTGTTATCGCTGCAGCATTCCTCGCCATCATGTACATATGGCACTATGGCACCGTCAAGCGGTTTGAGTTTGAGTCGCACAGCAGGGTGCCCATGGCCTGGATCCTGGGCCTAGGTCCCAGCTTGGGTTTAGTCCGAGTTCCTGGAATCGGCTTCGTGTACACCGAGCTGACAAACGGTGTCCCACACATCTTTTCTCACTTCATAACTAATTTACCTGCTATCCACTCTGTCGTCGTCTTTGTTTGTGTCAGGTACCTTCCTGTACACACCGTGCCAATGGAGGAACGGGTCCTTGTGAAAAGGATAGGACCGAAGAATTTTCATATGTTTCGCTGTGTCGCAAGATATGGATACAAGGATCATCATATGAAGGATGATGACTTTGAGAAGCTGCTCTTCGACAGTCTCTGTCTCTTTGTTCGACTCGAGAGTATGATGGAAGGATACTCGGATTCAGATGAATACAGCACATGCGAGCAGCAGACCAGGAAATCCATGAAGAAGTCCATCGATTTGTTGGTTACGGAGGGCGGCAGTGGCAACACACTTTTCTCCACTTTGGAGTCTGGTGCATCTTCGTCACTCGACTCGATCATCCCCTCCCAATCTACGCAATGTGGGAGCAGTCTGATGATGAGGTGTTCGGGGCAGACGAGCCAGAGACCAGGGGAGGAGCTGGAGTTCTTGAACCGGTGCAAGGAAGCCGGGGTGGTGCACATCCTTGGAAACACCATCGTGAGGGCTCGGAGGGATTCCGGGATCGTCAAGAGGGTCGCTGTGAATTACATATATGCTTTCCTCAGGAGGATTTGCAGGGAGAACAGTGTGATGTTTAATGTCCCTCATGAGAGCCTGTTGAATGTGGGTCAGGTATTCTATGTATAGTTGATCTTGTGAGGTTTTTGACTTGAAATCTTGGCCATGGTTGACTTTTCTCTTCTCCTGTCTTCCTCAAGGTCTTGGCTGTTGATGTCAGCCAATCCTGATGAGTTGTAATGTATATACGACTAATCGTAGTCTGCGGGAGATGTGGGATTCGCTGTATCTCATGCATTAATACCATATTTGTCAGTCTGAAATCGTGTGAATTATGGTTGACCTTAGCGGTTGGTGTCGTTGTTGGTCAAATCTGATGAGCCGTAACTAACAATCAAAGCCCGCAGATGGTGTGAGATTAATTGTCTCTCATGCATTTCTTTGCCGAAACATGCACTCATTAAAGTTTAGTGTGAGAGAGAGATTACACGGTTGGTGGAGACAATGTTGACTTCACCCACCACGTCGAACGAGTAATTTTGACTCCACGGTTGACCGACCTGGTTGACGACTTATTGTTTCCCGCACGTGCCGAAGCTGTTCGTTGCCCTCCGTCCGCTGCTCTGCACCGTTGGATCAGCTTGATCCGGTGTCACGTGCGAGTCCCCGGCCGTTCGATCGGCCGGGGACGCGACCGCCCGTGTCACTTGATCTCAGCCGTCGAAATCCATGGCATCAGCGGTTGGAGATGAGTCGCTTCACTGCTTTACGCGGACACCTGTGCTTTAAACTTAGCGCCCGAGCCACCTACCGGTGTCCGACCGCCCCACCAAACCCGCTCGAACTGTTTGCTAAACTCACGTGTCTTTATTTTACTTACTAAGGGGCATTTATGTAATTTAGAAAATATGTAAAAAAACAAATTAATTATTTTTATAGATGATTATATTGATGATTTTAATGCTCGGCGTTTGCTGTTTTTTGGGATTGAATTCCACATTAAGCGACGACAAATTCCAACTCGTTTCCGGATGCGTACGCGTAGCACGTGCGTGGGTGCGGATGGCAGAAACGGGGCGTGGGATTAGCATTACAAGGCATGGAGAACGCCGCCCGAGAAGGGAGGAAGCTGCCACTCGCCAAACCCTACTCCTCCCTATAAAGGAAGTGAAAGATTGCTCCTTTTTCCTGTCTTGCATCCTTTCTCGCGTTCGCCCTTCGTTCTTTTGGGCCTTCATTTGGGGTTGGGGGGGGAGGAGAAGAAAGTGAGAGAGAGAGAGGGGAAGCCCTTCGATGGCGTTCTCGAGTCTCCTCAGATCCGCGACTTCGGCGCTCGGTGGATCCCGCGATTGTTTTCCCTCTGGTTGCGGGACTCTGGCTCCGGCGTCATTCAAGGTCTCGTCCTCCCCATTCTCCGTCTGATGGTCTTTGCTGTTGATTTTGTTGAACATTTAGCTAAAAGAAAGAATCTCTTTTCTCCTGCTTCTATTGGATTACTGTCATGAGTCTAATTCCTGATTCGGTTTAATGATACTGTTAAAAATCACTTACTCTTTGATATTATTTTGGTGAAAGAATGCAAATTTACGTATCTTTTCTTATTCTAATGATCACTTCTCGCCCAACGTGATATAAATTACCTTTTGTTTGCCTTTGTTGGGCTAAAAATTGCAACTTTACCATATAATATTTCTTATGGTCATTTGTTGATGGACTATGGTCTTTTTTTATTATGTAACTTAATCTTTAATTCTTACACCGTACTCTCTCTTTTTTTCTTTAATCTTGTTCGGGATCAGATATCTTGCGTGGGGAGTCCTAAATCGGTTGAGATTCGTTCAGGTGTCTTGGGTTCTGCACTTCCTTCCGTGGAAGCGAACTCATCACAGTTAAGTTCTGATGTCTAATTCTGTCGGTTCTACTGCTAACTTTACCTTGTAGGGGTGAGCTAACAAAGACTTTGCTAATATGCACAGGAGATCGCGTGCAAGAGGCATTCAGCCAGTCAAAGCCACAGCAACCGAGGTCCCTCCTGCTGTTAGAAGTAAGTTTTGATACTTTATCGAATGCGTTTAAAGGAAAAACAAGCAAAAACGAATTGATGTACAACTCATCTGCGGTAGGGGACTTTTGTAACAATTTCTTTTTCTTGGTGCTCTTTTTATAGGGTCTTCAAGTGGTGGAAGGACAAAAATTGGCATAAACGGTCAGTTCAATTGTAGATTTAACAACTATATATTTCATCATGCTTAGCAATTTAAAACATGTATGTTTTACTGTTAACTATTGGTTGTAAATTGTGCTATTGAAAATTATCAACAGGTTGTTGTTCTGCTGTCTCCATTCAGGTTGTGAGTGTAAAGGGTTTCGATTTTTTCCTTTTTCAAATGCCCATCTTTAATACAGAACTCTCCATTTTTATCATTAAGACAACTGAACCTCTTCCCTTCGCCATCATTTATTTTAATAAGTAACAAGGATGGATTTTGAGATTTTAACATTAAAGAAAGTGCAGACCTTTGACGACAAAGGTAATTGCTCATGAGGTGTACTTCTTTCTGTCAAACTCTGTCTTTGCCTGACATAAAGGCCATGTCTTGACCTGCCACAATGAGAGGTTTTATGCATAGAGACATCCCATAGAGATTAAAGAGAATCTCTTAAATCATTTCTACAACATGCTTCTTAAGCACATCTTTAGTCACTTGAAAGTAGCTCTGCCTTATTTAAACTTGTGCTTTGCAGGCCTTTTCGGTGATTCAATATTGTAACATCTTTTTTGTAACCATTGTGCCTCCAAATTGTGGTGCAAAGAATTTAAATTATCATCTAGGGAGATCAGCCACCACAATATGCTTAGTCAAAGTTATGCTTTTTTGTATCCATTGGAAGTGTGAGCTAACTTGTTGTCAGTTTTGTTATAAACATCAAGAACTTTTTGTCAAATTATCATTCGAAAGACTTATTTTGCATTACTTGATCGTCAATTGAGTGCTGGCCAACTAGTCTAGAATAAAATTTCACTAGAGAAATATTAGAGCACAAAAAGATTTATTGGCTTCGAAGTCGTTCCTATGAATGTATCACTGTAGCTGCTAAGTGCCTAAAGGAAACACCAAGAGGACAGGTCTGGTTCCTATGACAGTATGATTCAAATTTTTGTCATATTTATTCATTTTAATAGTTTTGGTTCATTCATTTAAAGATGATGAATTGAAGTCCCATCATGGATAGAATTCTAAAAGCTGTAAATATCCTTCAGATTATGTGAACCCTGGATCTTTGTTTTGCATTCTTCAATCAGGAAGATTTTTTGCTTTATATGGAAGCTTGTTTTAGATGTTTCTTACATATCTCTGATGAATGGGGTTGTATTTTTATGCAGGTTTTGGGCGTATAGGAAGGCTTGTCCTGCGCATTGCCACCACCAGAGATGATGTTGAAGTTGTAGCAGTCAATGATCCATTCATTGATGCTAAGTACATGGTTAGGATTCATTACTTTCTTTAATTCCATTGGTTTTTCTTTATTTTTGAGATTATGTAGGTGCAAGAAGTTCTAGCATTAGTCCACTGCATTCTCAGGTGTAAAGAAAGTGGGCTAAATTTATTTATTTGGACTAATAGTTACTAGACAAGTCAATTTCCTATTATTTTTAGTGCTCCTTGGTAGTCGTAGGATTTTTTCCCTTTTGTGTGTTATGTATATTTTGGGTCTTGTTGGTGGTCTCCCTTTTTTATGGCTTAAGTTTTAAAGTGGGCAAAACTATATGATAATATTGTATCCTGAACAAGGTTCAAATATTGAGCCATGTTTACTGATGCGGTGATATGTCTGATAGCGTCTTACATGTATTATTGAGGGTATCTGGGTAAATGTAGAGGGATGGGCAGTTGCAAAAGAGGTATCAGGAGTTTAAGAGTTCTAGACATAGTTTGGCGGTCATAATCTAAAATATACTTGGGGCCAAGATTCAAGTTTTGGAAGTCTTTTATTTGAACAAATTAACCAATGTGTCAAGCCAGCAGCTGGCTGAGATCCCCTGTTTCTCTGCACTTTGATCCTTAAAATTGAGTCATGTTATTGCTGAAAAGCATGCCACATGTATTATTTTTTCACAGGCCATTAATCGTCATAGTGGTAGATCATATTTAGCATACTGCCTTTGCTAGAGAAAAATATTTGACACCTTATACTCTAGAACTAGCATTTATCATTTTGCTGAATTTTTGGGTCTCTGAAAGGACAGTGAAAAGATCAGAATTCCAAGAAAAGATATCTTTGCCATAATCTAAGTCTGTCAAACTCACTACTTAGTGCTTGTGGCCTGTTTGAAATGAAACATGATTTCTGCTTAATGTTTATTAGCGTGATCAAATTTTGTCATGAATTTAGAGTAGAAGAATAGGACAACTCTAGTCACATGAACATAATTTGTCTATCTTCTATGGTTGGATGGATTCTGAGATACTGCAGTCCACTCAAATGTTTTGTAACTACATCTGACATATTAACTTAGACCTTCATCATTTTTCTAACATTAACATGAGTATTCTTCTTATTTGGATTTTCCATTATGTGAGTTATTAACCAATAAAATGACAATTTACTTTTCTCAGGCATATATGTTGAAGTATGACTCGACACATGGCAATTTCAAGGGAACAATTAAGGTTGTGGATGGGTCCAACTTAGAAATCAATGGGAAAAGGATTGCGGTTACAAGCAAAAGGTATTGTTGATATAGTTCAAGATTAGTATGATGTGAGTTATGTTGCTCATCATGGTAGGAATATTGTTAACTTGTTCCTTTTCCTCTTATAAACTAGTTCCAAACACAAATCTTTGTGTGTGTGTGTACATATGTATATATATTCACACACACTTTAGGTTGAAAAATTAGTCAAACATGGAAGCAAAGCTTCTTGAGGGAAGGCATTTTCTTTTTTGGACTTCCTAATTTTATGAATCTCATAGAAACCCCATAAACTGGATTTCTTTTGGGTTTACTTTTCTTAAATTATCCGGAAAATATGACTTGTCAATACAACTCAAAACATGACTCTAAAATACATTAAGCCTACTATTAAAGCAAAGAAAATTTATCAAGAATGCTCAAGAAATAGAAAGCATGAGTCAAACTCTATTTTGAGTCGACTAGTACCTAACTAGTCGGTACTAGTCGACTCAAAATAGAGTTTGACTCATGCTTAAGCACTTCTTGTTATTTGGTATAAATGACCATCAATGATCATGTTCATGTCCTTTCATTCTAAGAAACAAAAGTAGTTGCTGAGTATTTTGATATTGTAACTGTAATCAA